AGTAAAGATGAAAGAGATATAGATACATCAGAACAGTTGACCTCCGTTGCATATGGTCTAGAACAGTATTTCAAAAAGAGTCCGGATGATGCATTTGCCTTACAATGTGCTCTATTAACATTGGAAAGATTACATTTGTTTTCTAACGCAAATGGGTTGGCTGATAGACTATCTACAATTTTGGAAAAAAGATTTGAAAAGACACAAGATGAGATCGAGTTATTTAATTTTGCAGTTATAAAATCTCAGTTTGCAAGAATTCAATTAGGCTTGGGAAATTATAAGAATTCCATTGAAAATGCTGAACTATCTGATGGGATTATCTCGGATTACAACAACGAACAATCACTTCAAGCCCAAATCTCGAATAATATCTGCCTAGGTCTAAGTAATTTCTTCCTAGATAATTTTGATGAGGCATTGAACTATTTCCAAACTTTGTTACAAATTTCAAAAGATTCAAAGCATTTAATTTTACTGATTTCCAACATATTATACGATATTGGTTTAGAAGAAACTAAAAATATCGCCTTGGATGAATTGACTGAATACATTTCAACCAATGGTAACGAATTTTTGGTGACTCTGACGTTAGTAGCAATGTCGATATTAGACAACAATCAACAGTTATTACCAAAATTATTGAATGAGTTAGAAGGTATCCACATTTCTTCTAGAATTAAAGATAAACACAAAGATATACCTTATTTGATATCTGAAATCAACAAAAGATTAGAAAAGAAAAATGTGGATATCTCCGAATTATCTATTTGGCAAAGAACCATAATATTCTTTCCAAACGATGCAAATTCTTGGAAGCCTGTAAATAAGAAGATTAGTCTCAGAGTATCCACAGAAAAGCAAAATAAAGTTACTGCATCCATTTTAGGACAAGACTACTGCGAAATGAAGAATTTACGTAACATTCAAAGAGGTGTTTTCCTATCACCTTGGGATACAAAATGTGTTCTCGCATTAAATGAGTGTTTTTGAAAATATGGGTTTAAAGACGTTTTTTGTATAGAACTATATAGATGGAACTTATTAATCCTTATACAATTAATCTAATAATATTTAAATACTTCCCATAATGCTAGTAGTCTGGAAACACGACTGAAAACGTTTAATTCACGCTCATTTACCATTTTCAATTGATTAAGTTCACTTGGTAACAATAATTCACTTTCTCTACCCTTGACATCATCTCTATTTGCCTTTGTCAATAGAGTGAAATTTTCTTCTTTCAAGCGATCATTCTTGTATAACAAATTTGCTATATTCCATGATAAGTTCTGTTTCATGAAATCGTATGAATGTCTTTCCTTTGATCTGAAGAGAAACACGGCCCTTGAAGCTGCTCTATCTGTAGTTCTTGGCACTTCTTGTATTTCGACAACATTATATTGAATTAAGGATGAAATAGTAGAACGAATATCTTTTTCTTTCATCAATGCAGTAGAATTAATAACCTTTTCAGACACCAACTTATTTTCAACAATACAACGACGAACACGCATTGCTGAAGGGCCTAAGGTAGAGACTATAATATAATCATATATACTTGAGCGTAATGCAGGCATTAATTCTGAATATGGAACATGATATACACCTGGTTTTGATTCCCTTAAGAACGGTATTTTTGATGTTGCTAATAATTTCAAATGACCATTGATCAAACTAATAGAATGTGGATCAGTGTCTTCGTAGTCAAAATCCATATTATCCTCATTATCATGTACATTATCATCTGTCTCATTCTGATCCTCTGATGCATGTTTTTGGGGAGGTGGAGGAATAACGAAACCATCTTCTGTTTTTAATTTCTTTGGTGGAGCCTCTGGGGTAGAATTCATGGGTCTTTTTGAGGATTTTACTCTTGAGGCCAGAGATCCACGAAGATCTAGACTAGCTGGCAAGTACTTTGCAATATCTATAGCATTGAAAGTAATACCTTTAGCATTTTCTTCTGTAAATTTATCATCTTCGGCAATACCATTTGCTTCATCTAAATCCTGAAGTAAACCGGTTTTTGATAATGGATTGGTTAACGGGTTTGATTTTTGTTCTGTGACTTGTAATGCAACTTTATAAACTTGTGAGGAAATAGAGCCCACTCTCATTTTAGAGAATTGAGTCAAATGCTTTGATCTTCTTGATTTTAAAAATCTCTCTAGATTGAAAGTCAAAGACACATCATTTCTCACCATTCTCAAAGAAGTCAATGGATCAATAGTAATAACTTTTGAAACATCATTGACTTCGTTAAAATAGTTGAAAAATGTCACTTTTGCCTTATTTTTAGCTTCTGTTCTTTTCTTCAAATCAGAAAGAGTTGAAGTTCTTGGTATAGCATTATATTCCTTTTGGTATAATCTATTCCAAATGTCACCAATTGGAGAAAGATGAATTTCCTTTATTGGGACTATATAACCATTTTCACACAATTTAACGAAAGCTGAGTATACCTCATCTTTTTCTTCATTTGATTTGATGTTTGAAACATATTGATTAACGGTAATCGAGCCAATAGATAAGATATTCTGAATGATTTGAGCTGCAATTGAAGATTGGAAACGTGAATTAATTTCCTCTAAGATCAATCCTGAATACAACCATAATAATATACCATCTTCGTTGAAATAGTAATGCGTAATACTTTTACCAGAATACGTGGTTTCTGTGTAATATTTTATACATCTTAATTGAATTAAACATACTAATGTAGTTTTAATACTTTTCCTATCCATTTCTCTAACATTTTCATTCAACTCATTTATATTTAATCTACCTTTGGCAATCAATACACCTATAATAATTGCAGCTCTTTCACCTAAATGTGACTTGGCTATTTCAGTATATAAAAATGTTTCAGGATTTATTGTTCTTTGCTCTAAAGAGGAAACACCAATTGATTCAAAAGCTAGATCAATATCATTGATAAGAGAAGATCCTGCACTCCCATTTGTGCTTGTCTCTGCCATTATTTAAATGTATATTATGGCTACAATCCCTGGCTGATGCTTTCTATATCTATAGTATTTTATATAAGGAATTTAATCGACTATTTTTCTTATCCCGTTGGTTTGATTCAGTAACTTTTTTCTTGTTAACAAATTAAGTATTTACTATACAGACACACAGACTACAACAACTGCACCACCAAGATCCGCTATCTAAGTCGAGAATATAAACCTGTAGAATGATTCTAACCTTATCCCAACACTATTTTAATATCCCATCTCATCTTTGCCTACCTCATCTCATCTCATCTCATCTCATCTCATCTGAAATATTTTTCAGTTTAGCTTTCATTCATTATTCGAGTTCGAATTTCGAATTTCGAAACTTGATCCCAATTTGATTTGGGCAAGAAAACAAAAAAAAAAAAATTTTGTGAGAAACTTCCCAAATGAGAAAAAAAGTGTAATTTTTACTTGATTAGGTGTAGCTCTTACTGGATATGGAAATACAACATCGATAATTTCTTAATGGTGAAACCAAAAAACTTTATGTTGCATTCACGTGATACGTGTTGCAGTTGAATGTGATAAAAGTATTTTGCTGTTGTTACCCTCCACTTCTGGGCTTGTTCGAATGCGGAAAGTTATCAGCTGGAAGGCAATTGAACAACCGCATACAGCTTGGTGGGACAATTCGATTCGTAATGGACAGAGGCTAACCTAATTTTATAAACTGACACAAAGACACAAAGACACAAAGACACAAGAGAATATAGGAATCTGCAATTTAGAACTTTGAGAAGTATAAAAGGAAAGAGGACAGGAATGGGTTAGAGATTTTGGTGATCTTCTTTGTCTCATTCTCTGATATTATGATCAATGTAATCAGGTACTGAAAATGGCTTCATTTTGGGCCATGGTGGATTGCGGCTGTGTTGTTTATATTTAGATTTTATATAATTTGTACAGAGTCTGGTGTATTCCAGCACTTTGGTAAATAGCTAATTGTCTATAGTGTTGTACCACCAACATGTTGTTGTATATTGAAATGTTAGTTTAATATACTATATAGTTTATAAACTTGAATTGGTCAATCATTATTATTAGAGATGCTAAGTTGGTTGCCTTTGTTACCTGATAAATTTACCATCTAGTGGAAGATACTTAACTGTCTAGTGTCATCCATCTCATTAGTTACCCTCATCAGTTTCCTTGAGATTGATCACATGCTCTCCATATTATGATAATCATTCATGACGAACCAATGGGCTTAAATTTCAGTAGCGAATGAAAAAAAAGAAGATTTTGACTGTAACTAAATAAATATTCGAAAATTTTGAAAAGTTGTAAGGAATTTCCCTCCCTTCTAATTCATATCAGAACTAAAATATCACAATTGAATTGTGTCAAAAGGATAAGTTTAATAGGATTACTTTAGTATTTCATTGATAGTATTTTTTAGTGATCTTTGGATTCTTCAATTGTACAGTTCCCCCTTTTGCTAAGATTTGATTATATTAATTAAATACTCTTAAAGAGAACAAATATAAACTTATATTAATTATCATTATTTTTCATATAAGGTATCTCTTTACAAATTCATTTGGTAGATATTTTGAGTAGTCGTGCATTGTCCATCCAATTGTTTGAAAGTAATTTAATATTTTACTACTATACTTTGGGTTAATAAAGTCAAATCATCAGTTCTAAGAATTATCATTAAAAAAATGTTGGGACGTTCAACTAGATTAAACGCTGTTCAACAATCAGTTAGACGTTATACCATCAATTCCACAAACAACTCTGATAACGTTTCTAAATTGTTTATTAAAGTTTATGCTGGTTCTCGTTATGCTACAAAAGATGGTGTCTCCCATTTGTTATCAAGATTTAACTTCCACAACACTAACGATAAGTCTGCTTTGAGATTCGTAAGAGAATCTGAATTATTAGGTGGTAAATTCAAGTCTACTGTTGATAGAGAATATATCACTTTATCTGCTACTTTCTTGAAAGAAGATCTACCATACTACGTCAACGCTTTAGGTAGTGTTTTATATAAGACTTCTTTCAGACCTCACGAATTACCAGAATCTGTTATTCCTGTTGCTAAACATGACCTAGCCGTAGCTGAAACATCACCTATCAAAAAGGCTGAAGATTTGCTATACAACATCACTTTCAGATCTGGCTTAGGTAACCCTGTTTTATATGATAATGTTGAAAACGTTTCTTTGGAAGATATTAAGTCCTTTGCTGACAAAGTCTACACCAAAGAAAATATTAAGATTGTTGGTAAAGGTATCAATGAAGCTGACTTGAAGAAATTCGTCAATGACTCATTGTTAAACTCCTTGCCAACTGGTTCCTCTTTAGTTTCTAAGGCTGAACCAAAGACTTTTGTTGAACAAGCTAGATTCAGAAAAGAAGGTGAATCAGTTGCAGCTATTGCCATTCCAGTAAAGAAGGAAAGCTTTGCCGAATACGAAGTTTTATCTCGTTACTTAACTTCTGATCTATCTAACTTATCCACCTTTATCGATTCCGCTAAATTAGATAAATACTCTGATATTGGTTTGTTCTCTTTGTACGTAAAGGGTTCTGATGCTGAGTTAGTTTCTCAAAATATTAAAAAAGTTGTATCTGAATTAAAGAAGGACACTGATATTTCTGTTGCTAAAGAATTGACTTCTCTGCAGCTAACTTTAGAAAATGAACAAAATGCCGAACCAGTCGAATTGAAATTGGATTCTGTAAAATCCTTTAAATTACCAAAATTCAGTTACGTCGCTGTCGGTGATGTCTCCAAATTGCCATATTTAGACCAATTGTAAATAAGTTTTAACAACATTGAGGATGTTTCTACACTTCCCAAATATTCATGTCGTTAAACAAATACATTCTAGTCCCTTGTAGAGGAAATTCAAATTATTTCACAATTTAAGATATTCAAGATTTTTATTCACAGATTTAAGTACGCAGAATTAACTGCCTATAATCAACATCCATGGAAATATATATTTATATATTAAATATTTTATTTTTTCATTTTAACAATATTTATATTCAAAATCAAACTTAATTCATTTCTTGGGTCAAACAGTAAAGACCTAGAATTTTGGTAAAATAAATATTTAGTGATAAATTAGATTCTCAAATTGTATATGGCCAAGGAAGGTTGTTAAGTTTATATTGATACGCAAATTTGAGTCAGTGTTATATTCAAATGATTATTATTATATATTAGGTGAACTTAGAGGTATATTGTTCCTATTTTACTGTTATATATTTCTAAATTAATCACTTGGTTTATCAATTTTTCTAATAATCAATTTTTGCGGTCATCTTATCTTTAAGCTTCATAACATGTTAGTATTACCAGAATGGTATGAATACTAAATTTCTTATTGAAAGTAGTAAAAAATTAAATAGATTTTGGTTTACGATCTCTGTTAATGGATTGAACTGAGCTCGCCTCTCTAATAGGAGGGTAGCAATGTAGATATATTTTTAACAGTTATAATTGAAATTTATTCCAATAAATGACAAAATTGACTAATGCACGTCATAATAAATATGAAATATTAGCCATATCTTGTAGACTTCATAGTGTACGGGATTTCAAAAGACAGTTATTACAAATGTTATAATAGGATCAACAGTAGTTGATTAAAGGGTTGCAATTATCTTGTTAATTTAAATTAAATACAACTTGAGGTGTCCAATGTATCATAATTATCTAAAGAAAAATTATAGTACATTTCTTATTGATGTGTCATAAATATTGGATGATAAACGTCGGATCGATATATCTGAGGGCTGATACGAGTGGTATAGTAACGAATATAGAATGTTTTAGAAATTTTATTTTTTGGCTATTGCCTTTTATTAGTGTTGACGCAGATTCCAAACTGAGAAAGTGTTGTTGGCAGTTTCAAAGCTATTATTGTTCATATGTTGATCCATTGTTAGACTATATCTTTGGGAAGCTAATCCTTAATTATATTATATAGTATTATAGAGAGATTAGATAAAGATCAGGACTAGTTTCATTAAGATAGAAACCTATCCCTTTATATAACTTAGTGTTTTCATCTAATTTCCTAATTAGATGATAACTGTGGTGTCTGAGCTAACTGTGGTGGCTCACATAACTGTGGTGGCTATGCTTCTTATGCTAACCATATTCCAACTAGGTTTTTTGCACATTGTATTCAAAACCTAATTGGAATTACATTTTAATTTTTACCGCTCACATTTATGATTGGCTTCAAAAACTTTGTTTGTCAGACAAAACAAAAAAGGAAAAACTTTCATCATTTGAAGAAGTGTGTCTTCTAAAATGGGAAACTTTGTATAATAAATATATACCACATTTCATTTATATGGTGTCAATCTAGGATATATGCAAAAGGTATTATTATTATTGTATATAGTAGCAACTGTATTATTACGAAACAAATCCTTATTTGTATTATACATAATTATAGAAGGATTAGGTAGAGGGCAGGAATAGCTTTACTTAGATAGAGAACTATGTCTTTATATAACCTAAGGATTTCATCTAACTGTTCTAATTAGATGATGGTTATGCTGGTCAAGCTTCTACAACTAACTATATTACAACAAAATAAAGTAACTTATATATTGTAGTAATTGTGTTTGGTCAAATCAAAGTAAAGATTATCATATTTGAAAACTATGAAATATTAAATTTATAATAATAGCTCATATCTTATAGACATTATTAAAATAATGTCTCGATTGTGTTGCACCGATATCCCTTGAACAATGTATATACCAAGTTAATGAATAGATTGCTTGACATATTAAAGTTAAATAAAGTATGGGAAAATTTTACCCAACTGAATTATCCTAGTTTATATACATATGAAAAAAAAAATACACATTTAGAATACAAGTAAGTGAAAAAACTTCTGTTAGATTTGTTATACTGAGTTAGTGTTGGAATACCGTTAGCATTAGAAGTCAAACGAGTAAACCAGTATCTAATTAATATAATTAGGTGAAATCCTTGAGTTATATATAAATGAATAGTTTTATATCTCAGTGAAGTTATTCATGTCCTCTAATTAATCATTCTATAATCATTTATAATACAAATAAGGATTTGCTTCTCAATAATATAGCCTATAAGGAATTGACAATTGAATGATAACATCGAAACTGTTAATTACTCCTTCTCAGTTTCGAACCTGCGTCAAGGCTTAAGGTTGATACCCGATACTTTGTCATATTTGATCACCTATTTCTGAATACATTGGTACCTGATAGACCAACAGATTGTACGATATAACTTATAACATGATCTAATATTAAATCAAACACAATATTTATTCCTCAAATTATTAAAATTTCAACACAGCGGCATCTTAAAATTTAGCTATATTGTTCAACTATCACTTTACAGTTTTAGAGATCCACCTAAAAAATATATATTCTGAAGGCCCTTATATATAAGGTACCTGAAATATATAGAATGAAATGTATTTTATATTTTGCCTAATTCAGAACCATTGATATATTACCAAGAAATGTCAGTACTATAGGATTTTCTAAAGTATTTACCATCTGTTGTCGTACTTTATATATCACTCGTTAAGTTTATTAATTTTGCAATATCCATCAGGTATTCAAAGCGAGAGACAGATGATGATAAAATATCATTAGCAGAGTCAAAAACAAATATATGACATATTATTTTATTATATGCGAAACTATTGTCGAATATGACATGCTATAGAAGATTGTCAAAAACATATCTATCTGCACTTTAAATTACTGTCGAAGGCTCTTACTGAAGTGTCTGATTTCAACGTTTAATAGTAATAGTTAAAAATTAAGAGTGGGTTAACTTTAAGTAACGGTTTATATAAATCAGATACCTTAACTAATTAGGCAACTTACTATTATATCCAATAGAAATATTAATTAACAACCTAGTAAGTATTCTCAGCCAGCTAATGTTACCTAATTAGTTGATATTGTTGGATTTTGGGAATCAATAGATGCAAACCAGCAACTAGCAACCAGCAACCAGCAACCAGCATCTAATTAATCTAATTAGATGAAATTTTGCAAGGTATATAAAGGGATGGTTTTATATCTTAATAAAACTATTCTCACGCTTTAGTTAGTCTTTATATAATGGTATATAAGAGTAACAGTTTTAGAGGTTGCTAACGTATAATTGTACTTATAGCTCAGAGCCAATCCAACCAATAATTTGTTTATACTATCCTAACTATGTCTCAATCTGGTACCCAATCTAACTCAGCTGATGATCCTCCATCCCAGGATGCATACACTCTGTTGGTTTCGACTCTGCGCTCACAGATATACTCACTTTCACATCCCTTTAAAGATCTGAAAACCTAAGAGGGAAAATATTTCTCTCCAGTAGCACATTCACATTCTATGATTGATTGATTTTCTAGATGGTTGAAAAATGTCTCCAATCTACCTCCCCTCTTGGATATATCCATTAATATATCTAAATAAATTCTGACAATTGACAATATACAATTTCCATTTATTATTGTATGTACAAGTTATTTATACTCAATTAGTTGCTCTCATTAGGGTCCATTAAGTTCATTACTGGATTTTACTGTCCAACAGTTTCTTCCATAAAATTACCTGCATATTTGATAGTTTAATAAATCAATATTTTGGAAATTAAAGCGGTAACTTTACCTATGATTCATTAACTAGCAATACTGCATCGTGCGAACCAAGTTGATACCTTATGCACATAATATACTAATTAGGTTTAATTATCTGATCATATGGATAGTGTATTATATGATACAGAAATATTTAAAGTATGGTATTTCGTATTTATCTAAAGAAACAAGCTGTATAATCGAATACTTAAGGTTACTATTTATAAACTTTACGGTGTTATTAAAACTATTATAATACCTATACAGTAGTATTGAACATATAAAGATCTCTATGGTTTTTATTTTTTAATAGCAAGAAGGATATATCTTTACTTCATGAACCATGTCCTTTATATATTACGTATTTGTTGGAATATGATCAGTGTTAGAAGAATAACCAACACAACCAGAATATCTATCATTTAATTAGAATAGTTAGATAAAATATTTAAGTTATATAAAGGAATAGTTTCTTATCTTAGTAAAACTATTCCTGCCCTCCATCTTATCCTTACATAATAGTATATAACATAATCGACGATGAGCTTCCCAATAATCTATTTTAAAATGAATCGACAGATAAATAATAACAACTTCGAAACTTTTAACAGTACCTTCACAGTTTGGAATCTGCGTCAACATTCTATACATATTGCAGATTTGAAATCTTATCTAAGACAATGAGAAAATATTTCACATATTAGTACACCAACTTTTGATCAAATAAATATCATGAATTATCCAGAAAAGATAACTAATTTAATGTCGATGTTTACCTTGGTCAGTAATATTTTATATTAGTAAAATAATTATACTATTGAAGATAAACTTTATTATTTAATCAATTCATTTTACCTTGACGAATTAAGTAATCAAGTCAGAAAGATCACGACCTGAAATTATAATAAAAACACAATGAAATATGAAGAATAACAAGTGATGATTTAGTTTCTCAACAAAAAAATAGATATGCTATCAAATAATGTATTAATAGTGATTAGGTTAATATAATTATTTAATACTGAATACTCAGTAACTCCTATTTTTATCTTACAACGTAGTTTTGGTAAGCAATTAAATTAGAACTATTAATTCACTTTAAGGTTTTGAAAAATAACCGAATCAACCAATAAATAACAATTAGAAAATTTAATAATAATGACAAAATAAGAATATAGCAATGTTGTTAGGCTGGAACTTTTTCAATAAGATGCAATTATATTCACACTGAATATATCCTATTTATAATTGAACAGAATTTTTTATTCTATGGATTTCCTATTTGTAAAATAAAATTTCTGATGTTTAATACTAAATCTCATATATAATATCTATATGTAGAAAATTATTATGCTTGTTTCTTCACTGAATCTTTCATCAAGTTAGATTCTTTATTTATTTCCAAGGACATTATTGTGGAGTTGATAATGATCCAGTGTATTAAAATATATAATATAAACATGGACATATATTTTATATGATAAGTGTAAATCAAGATCTTATCATTTCTTATATACAGTGTTGGAAAAGTTTTCCCGCGTCAGAAATAACACTTTTGTGTAGAGTAACATTTCTTTATCATTTACGAATAATGTTGTAATGTGTTTAGCTTACTCATCACCTCATAATTCTAACACTATGTCAGATAGTAATTTATCTGCTTATATGACAAATACAGTCATGCATAATTTCGGAGTACGTGCATGTTATACCATAATATTATGCGATTAATTTAATCGCCATTATTCACTTATAGAAAAGAATATATACTTGAAATTCCTTTAATTGCCCTTTAATAAACTAAATCAATTATAAATCAATTTCCAATAAATTAATCCCACTTTTATTTCTTCTATGAGTCTGGTAATGTTGTGAACAATTATCACGTCTACTAAACCTTTGGTTACAACCTTCAAACGGACAACAATGCTTTTTTTCTCCTGTATGGATTCTGTAATGTCTCGAAAGATGACCTGAAGTTGTCAAACCCTTTCCGCATACACGACAGTAGTATTTACGTCGTTCAGCAATATCCCCCTTTAACAGACTGACACGGCTTGATTTAAAACCTTCCGGTATAATTGTTTTCTTCCTGTATCTCCTTTTCTTCCTTAAAATTATTTTCTCTTTCTTAGGTTTTTCTTTTATTGAAGACTGAGTGTTGCTTATGATATCGTCACTTTCATTTAAATATAGTGGAGGAGTTACTATATTTTCAAATCCCATTTGATTTCTATTAGAGATGCCGTTAGATAGTGGTTCTTGACGTACTATGTCATTGTTAATTAATATCAAGTCATCAGACTCATTTGGAGGTGATATAGGATGAAATTTGAGTTTATTGAAATTGGATAAAAAAGACACGGGGTTTTTATTACTTAGAGAAGAAGTTTTGCTAACTTCTTCCCTAGAAGAATATAAAGGTTTAGAATTATTAGAACTGTGATCATGACATAGAGTAACTGGGCATTTTTTTAATATCGGGAACTCTTGCTTATCACATATACTGTTATCTCTTAAAATATTTCCCCATTGGTTTGACATAATCACCGAGTCGAATTCAGATCCTATTGAGGGGTAGTTTTCTATCTTCAGCGTATTCGTTTTAAACGAATGTTTGTCCAAGATAAGATTTATACCGTAATCCATAGTGTTGGAAGAAAAGAAATATGGAAGTAGTGTAGGAAGTTTGGTATCTATGAGTATTGAATTGGAATTTTTATTTTTATTTTTATGTATTTTCTTCATATTGGAATGTTCAATTTGATATTTGTTATGTTTATTTTGGTTTCTAGACATGTACTATTGCCAGTTGATTAATTTAATCCTGTAACACAAAACTACACTGAAAAATCCAAATCTTATTTGACTATTACACAATTAAAAACAGAAAAATGCAATTCAATTTACTCTTTAAAATAAATATTTAGTATGACTAAGTACTTCAATCTTTTCACTAAAAGTAAATATCAATATCTTTAGTCCAATTAAATTAAATTCTCTATAAAGTGAAAAGTAATAACTATTTAATAGAATGTACCTCAGACATTTTAAACCACTGTTTCGAAATTATATAAAGATTTTATTTCTTTTAATAATGACAAAAACCATTAGTGATTTATATGACAATTCAAAATATCACTTATATTTACAATAGGGATAACGAAGAGGTACTGTCGATCTCTCGATTGTCCAATATGCGAAAACCTTGCTTAAACCAAGTAAGCATAGACAGAATTCAAACGTGGCAATCCTAAGCAATGTATCACTCTTCGTTCTTTTGTAATTAAATATACTACCATATGTAAGCTTGGAAAGTTAACAAGAAAAGATCATACAATAATACTCTACGATAATTTCAGTAATTTAAAAATTCCAACATTATAGGTAAAATTTAATGAGAAAGACTACCCATTATCCTTGGAAATGCTAATACTACATTAAATGGATAATTTAAGAAAAAGTTAAAAATCAGTTTCATCCAAAGAAGTTTCTCTAAAAGAAAGGTGATAAGAAAAGATAAGAAAAGATCATGAAAATGGAAATGGAAATGGAAAATGTTAAAGTTGGATACGCATGATACTAAGAAAATAATGAAGTTTAAAATGCATTGCTTTTTAACTGAATAAACATTAAAGTATTTTCAAATACTATTTTGGGAAACTAGATTTTGCCCAATTTCTCAGCGTGATCCCCTTCTGTTTGTAGAATTTTTTTTTTGAACGAAACAGAGTTATTTTGGAGAAACCTTATCAGAACCTGATGAAATTGCAATTTATTTGGATCCGAAGAAGGAATAAGCCAATAATATTCATAGGGAACGGTGAAATTATGCCTTCAGACTCTTACTTAATATCCTTCTTTTTAAAATAGTGAATGGGACAAATACGAAAAAGAATTGCAAAATACAACAATATAAATCACAAAACGATATATACAAAAACAAAAACAAATTAAAGGTTAGTCAGAAGATGGAGCAGAGTAAAGAGAATAAGAGGATTTAGTTATTGATTTTACAAAAATGATACCAAATCGGATGCCTAATACACTCACTTTCTTAATTAATTTTAATTTTGAATAAAAATCACTACCCCTAGTGTACGGATGATTTAAAAACAAGAATTTGAGGTATATGCTTTATAATACATGATATTGAAAAACTGTTTCGGCTACCATAAATTATTACAGTATACTTAATATCGTGGATGAGACACATTGATAGTAAAAATATCTTTGATTATTTTTGTTGGTTTCTTTCAAAAGACTTCAAAATTTTGTAACAAGGTGCAGATACTTGTACAATTAGTAGTCGATCTACTTGAAATACATTGAATGTATATTAGACCAGAAAAGTTATTTTGTATTTTAAAATTTCGTTACTCATAAATTTCATTAAAAAAGTTTTAACCCTCTCCCTCATCACAGAAAGTGCATTTCTGCTTTGGGTAGATTATTTTTATACTCTTTATCTAAGTCAGAGTTTTGCAACTAAATAGGTAGGAAGAATACCATCTTAAAAAGATCATTCTTTTTAAAATTCTTCCGTTTCTGGATTTCTCAAGTGAACTAAAACGTAAAATTCACAAGAATTGTACACTTCAGTAATTGCACTCCTTCCACAATTCTCCCAAGACCAAATTTGTTAACGGATAACCTTTATAGGATTATTGCTAATTCAGGAATTTAAATTCCTATAATGTATGACTTTGAAATTTACGATTAGAAGTAACAATTATCTGTAGAAATTAAGATAATTTCAGGTAACAGAAAATATATATTCCTGCTGTTGAAGGAATTCAACTGTAAAAAGGATAATGAAACTTGATGTAAATAAGAAAGAAAGTATATAATATATTGTAGAGAAAGTATATAATTAAATAGAGGCTAGGTAATTATGATATTTCCTTTTTAAACGATCGAACTAATATTCTAAAAAACAAAACCGCATATTATTAAGTAATAAGATTAATATGTCGCTGCAAATATTTTTTGGGTGTAAAATGTTTAAACAAACAACTAAAAAGAAAGATTTAATACACTGAAATTCATTTTCATTTCCTTCAAGTACTTTTAACAAGAATGCCACGCCTTCATTTTTGATTTCGTAGTAGCACTCTCAGCAAAAAAAACACTAGGATAAAGAAAGGACAAATATATTCTAGTCTTCCAACTAGGCATGCTCTGGTAGCGGAGTGAAGAACTTACTCTCATAGTTAAGTAGCCAAATGAGTAAATTAGCTCCCTCCGTTGACAGTAAATCAACCGTAGGATTGCTCTGTCATTAGCTTTAGCTGGGCTTTACCGGAAGTCAGATAATATCATGTGATTTCCAAACCCTAAGTATACTATTATACAATGTTGATTCAACATTGACACACCTTCACTAAAAACAAAGTGATCTAATTTATTACAATGGGATAAGGTTCCTGTTTTGTAATATTTGTATATTCTCTTTCATTTGGACTTTTAATTACTATCTAGTTACGTGGAATTAGAGAGGTGTAGCCACTTTTTGAAAAAAATCATTGAAAAAAAATTTAAAATTGTATTTTAAACTCATCAAAGTAAAGTTCTTCACCTTAAAATATAAGAAAGAGAAAAGGTTATAGTAAAATAAGCTCAATTATACAAGTTAGTTGAATTACAGACAACCAGTAACAGGAATTAATGACTCTCCATGAACTAACTAAAGAAACGATTAAAACTACAAGTGAAGATGAAACCACCACGTCGTCAATATAAGTGACATGTCCAATAATCACCTACATTTAAACCTCTACGAGCCTTTCAAAGATAAACCTTTAGATGATGTCCTTTTGAATAAGAGGAAGACAGATATATAGTTGAGATAAGATAAATAAGTCAGATAAGATAGATAAAATTGATATATTAAATGCCGTGTCAACAACTGAGCACAGTATACGTCACAAAATACTATGTGACTTTAAACCCTAGTGCACCCTAACGTTATGCCCTGGATCACATGATCCTCGTGCGTGGCGACCCCAAACTCTACCTAAAATGCTCTTCCGTTGGCCGTGTATTGCCTGTCATTTTAGGAACTTTCGGTATCCGGGCCTTGTTTAGCTGCCTCAATTATTGTTCTCAGGCAAGATGAAAAGGCGGGAAGAGATATTCCCCAACCACGCTTACTTTCAACTAGTGAAAGGAGGTGACCTAGCACTGCTACTCAAAATATTTTATCCTTTCAATTACTAAAAAGAGGTGAAGTAATCGCACTATTCAAAATGTTTTTTTTAATTATATTCGAAAATTATAGAGAAATTATCTCATAATATATTTTGTTAAGAAAAATATCGCTGTTTCATCTAATAGTTCAAAATAGAAAGAAAAGAGAAGTAAAACTCTACTTTTTTAGTAACAAACGAACCAGATATAGATCAAAATTAATTAGTTTTCTAAAATACAGGCTTTTAGTTCGAAATTAATAAATGTGAACACAGAAGTTCTCAGAAGGACGATATCTAATTAAAATAAACATAATAAACTTCACGAGATACAATTTGATACGCCTGCTGGCTTATTAAGGAGCACTCAAATAAGTTTATTGACAAAAAATTCCTTAATTTCTTTGGAGGCAACTGTAAAATATTTACTAAACCTAATAATATCTTGTGCTGCCTGAAAATTGTCTCATAATAAAGATTACCATATACGTCACTGTGTTTCAGATTCAAAAGTTCACCTCAATATTTTCGAAACATAAGCTGATAGCCTTGTCAATAATAAAATAGTTTTCTTGAACGAATTGCCAGCTTATATTATTATTATTACCTAGATTATTGTATCAAAAACGATTAGTTCTCATTCATAAGAGAAGGCAATATTTACTACTGGGAATCACTGAAAATATTTTTTCTGCTTTGTACCTTCGCTCATTATTACTTCCCGAGATACAGTATCATAAAATTTGTATTTACTCATTTTGGCTAATCAAAATTTCCTCTCCCATTTGTCAGGACAGCTATCTCAAAAGAAGAAACAAAACAAAAGAAATATTTCAAAAAAAAGAAACAAAACAAAAGAAATATTTCAAAAAAGAAAAGAAAAGTCCAAAAGAGAGAACGGAAGGTATAATACGAGAGGCCCAAAGAAAGCCGAAGAGTAATAGGAAGTACATTTCGGAAGTGAAAAGTAAAAGAAAAAAAATACAAATACGGTTAACAAAAGGATTAAAATAGAATGAGTTTTTGATTATTATTGAGGATATCTTATGAGAATAAAATTATAAACCAATCAAATATTTGGTATATAATTAATAATAGTTTATGAACTAAATAAATGCAGGAGAAAATTATAAAGACAATTGAGGTATACTACATACATATATCTATATCAGTAATAGCTATTTACTTAAAAAGGGATGAGGATCAAGTAAATAAATATTATAGAGAGAAGGCAGTCAATGTAATATAGAAAGAACAGTCAATATAGTAGAAGAACTATTATGATACATTCTGTTATCCAATAATAGAGAGGAGAGGTTTTCTAATTTCCTTCTGAGGGAATTTAAATTTCAATAATTTATGTACATTAATGATGTAAAAATGCATTTTGCTAGGTGGTAAAGATTCATATATAAAATCTAGTTGCTTATTCTATTGGAATCTCTACCAAAATTGATGACCTGGCCGTTAGAAGCTAATAAACGTTTATTATCACATCTATTGTACACGTTAACCAACATCCAATTTTTATTTCAATATGATCATGAGTTTTCATGCCAACTGACAATATAGAAAAAAGGGAAACTCGATAGAGTAAAGCCTACAGAGGACAACTTCAAAACATTCTTAGCAGTGGAAATGAAATGAGGAAAAATCAATTAGCTGTTACCATTAAACATCACACAATCAATTCACAAGTGCTTTCAAAATGGTACCTCTTTTGATGAGAACAGAAGACAAATGAAGTTTATCAACTAAATCAAACTTAGAAAAAAGCCATAAACTATTTTGAAAACAAAAGCTATAAAAAGGGACCAGATTCTCTTATAAAAATCCTAATCTGTTCTTTCCATTATTTTATTTTTGATATAGTAATTATAAATATATAAAATATTCAAAAAAACACCAGTTGTCAAGAAATAAATACCAGGATGATGGTAATATTATATTTTGGTTTATTTCTCTTTTCACAGTTTATAAGAACGGCAAATGCCGAAGCAATTGCGTGCTTACCAAAAGGTGATTCGATTGATGGTTTTACAATAAAATTTTACCCATATGCACAAGCTGATCGTCATACATTCTCTTCTCTTGAATATATGGGGTTCGGTTATGCAGATTTACAACTTCTTGGTGAGGTAACTAAAATAACTAATCCAAGTGTTAATATTTATTATCCATGCGTAAGTGATCACGGCACATTTCCATGTAACACGTACAGTGGTGATACGGTCAAAGGAGGTCCTGGTACAACACAAAATTATACATGTAATGGAGTTTTTTGTAGTAACACTGGTCCTTCCTACTTTCCATTATTCGGATTTGAAACAACTCCTAGTAACGTAACACTTGAAATGACTGGTTATTTTCTGGCAACAACAACTGGTAAATATACATTTAATTTGCCTAAAGTTGATGATAGTGCACAATTATCTTTAGGTCATGGTGTTGCTTTTGATTGTTGTGCTCAATCCGAGAAACCAATTGAAAATACCGACTTCACAATTAATGCAGTTAAAGGTTGGTGGGGAAGCACTGGTAATACTACTGCAACTGTTGACTTAGTTGGTGGCTATTACTACCCATTAAAGATCGTTTACACTAATGCTGTCTCCTTCGGCTATATGCCAGTAGAGCTTGAGTTACCTGATGGAACCATAATAACTGATTTCAAAGGAACCGTATTTTCGTTTCCAGATGATGCCCAGGATGGTAAATGTGAAATCAGTGATCAGAAAAGTACAACAACGACAAAATATTGGACAGGCAAATATACTACAACCTACAGCACAGGAATTTCTACATACACAGGGACAGATGACATCACTACTACGGAAACTACCTTCTTTGTAGAAATTCCAGGAAGTGACAGTGATACTACTACTACAACCTTCTGGACCGGTTCTTTTACAACCACCTATAGTACTTTAATAACAACAATTACAGGCTCTGATGGTGTACCAACTACCGAAACAACATATTTTGTTGAGACACCTGGTATCGAAACTACCACTACTGTGACTACCCCATGGACTGGCACTTATACCAGCACTATCGAGACTGTTGTCACTACATTCACTGGTTCCGATGGTGTTCCTACTACCGAAACTACTTACACTGTTGTCGTTCCTCCAACTTCCAATCCTGGTAGTGAAATTACTACTACAGTCACAACACCATGGACTGGCACTTATACCAGTACTATCGAGACTGTTGTCACTACATTCACTGGTTCCGATGGTGTTCCTACTACCGAAACTACTTACACTGTTGTCGTTCCACCAACTTCTACCCCAGGTGTTCACACTACTACTGAAATTACAACCCCATGGACTGGCACTTATACCAGCACTATCGAGACTGTTGTCACTACATTCACTGGTTCCGATGGTGTTCCTACTACCGAAACTACTTACACTGTTGTCGTTCCTCCAACTTCCAATCCTGGTAGTGAAATTACTACTACTGTGACTACCCCATGGACTGGCACTTATACCAGTACTATCGAGACTGTTGTCACTACATTCACTGGTTCCGATGGTGTTCCTACTACCGAAACTACTTACACTGTTGTCGTTCCTCCAACTTCCAATCCTGGTAGTGAAATTACTACTACAGTCACAACACCATGGACTGGCACTTATACCAGCACTATCGAGACTGTTGTCACTACATTCACTGGTTCCGATGGTGTTCCTACTACCGAAACTACTTACACTGTTGTCGTTCCTCCAACTTCCAATCCTGGTAGTGAAATTACTACTACTGTGACTACCCCATGGACTGGCACTTATACCAGCACTATCGAGACTGTTGTCACTACATTCACTGGTTCCGATGGTGTTCCTACTACCGAAACTACTTACACTGTTGTCGTTCCACCAACTTCTACCCCAGGTGTTCACACTACTACTGAAATTACAACCCCATGGACTGGCACTTATACCAGTACTATCGAGACTGTTGTCACTACATTCACTGGTTCCGATGGTGTTCCTACTACCGAAACTACTTACACTGTTGTCGTTCCACCAACTTCTACCCCAGGTGTTCACACTACTACTGAAATTACAACCCCATGGACTGGCACTTATACCAGCACTATCGAGACTGTTGTCACTACATTCACTGGTTCCGATGGTGTTCCTACTACCGAAACTACTTACACTGTTGTCGTTCCACCAACTTCTACCCCAGGTGTTCACACTACTACTGAAATTACAACCCCATGGACTGGCACTTATACCAGCACTATCGAGACTGTTGTCACTACATTCACTGGTTCCGATGGTGTTCCTACTACCGAAACTACTTACACTGTTGTCGTTCCTCCAACTTCCAATCCTGGTAGTGAAATTACTACTACTGTGACTACCCCATGGACTGGCACTTATACCAGTACTATCGAGACTGTTGTCACTACATTCACTGGTTCCGATGGTGTTCCTACTACCGAAACTACTTACACTGTTGTCGTTCCTCCAACTTCCAATCCTGGTAGTGAAATTACTACTACAGTCACAACACCATGGACTGGCACTTATACCAGCACTATCGAGACTGTTGTCACTACATTCACTGGTTCCGATGGTGTTCCTACTACCGAAACTACTTACACTGTTGTCGTTCCACCAACTTCTACCCCAGGTGTTCACACTACTACTGAAATTACAACCCCATGGACTGGCACTTATACCAGCACTATCGAGACTGTTGTCACTACATTCACTGGTTCCGATGGTGTTCCTACTACCGAAACTACTTACACTGTTGTCGTTCCTCCAACTTCCAATCCTGGTAGTGAAATTACTACTACTGTGACTACCCCATGGACTGGCACTTATACCAGCACTATCGAGACTGTTGTCACTACATTCACTGGTTCCGATGGTGTTCCTACTACCGAAACTACTTACACTGTTGTCGTTCCTCCAACTTCCAATCCTGGTAGTGAAATTACTACTACTGTGACTACCCCATGGACTGGCACTTATACCAGTACTATCGAGACTGTTGTCACTACATTCACTGGTTCCGATGGTGTTCCTACTACCGAAACTACTTACACTGTTGTCGTTCCTCCAACTTCCAATCCTGGTAGTGAAATTACTACTACAGTCACAACACCATGGACTGGCACTTATACCAGTACTATCGAGACTGTTGTCACTACATTCACTGGTTCCGATGGTGTTCCTACTACCGAAACTACTTACACTGTTGTCGTTCCACCAACTTCTACCCCAGGTGTTCACACTACTACTGAAATTACAACCCCATGGACTGGCACTTATACCAGCACTATCGAGACTGTTGTCACTACATTCACTGGTTCCGATGGTGTTCCTACTACCGAAACTACTTACACTGTTGTCGTTCCACCAACTTCTACCCCAGGTGTTCACACTACTACTGAAATTACAACCCCATGGACTGGCACTTATACCAGCACTATCGAGACTGTTGTCACTACATTCACTGGTTCCGATGGTGTTCCTACTACCGAAACTACTTACACTGTTGTCGTTCCTCCAACTTCCAATCCTGGTAGTGAAATTACTACTACAGTCACAACACCATGGACTGGCACTTATACCAGCACTATCGAGACTGTTGTCACTACATTCACTGGTTCCGATGGTGTTCCTACTACCGAAACTACTTACACTGTTGTCGTTCCTCCAACTTCCAATCCTGGTAGTGAAATTACTACTACAGTCACAACACCATGGACTGGCACTTATACCAGCACTATCGAGACTGTTGTCACTACATTCACTGGTTCCGATGGTGTTCCTACTACCGAAACTACTTACACTGTTGTCGTTCCTCCAACTTCCAATCCTGGTAGTGAAATTACTACTACAGTCACAACACCATGGACTGGCACTTATACCAGCACTATCGAGACTGTTGTCACTACATTCACTGGTTCCGATGGTGTTCCTACTACCGAAACTACTTACACTGTTGTCGTTCCACCAACTTCTACCCCAGGTGTTCACACTACTACTGAAATTACAACCCCATGGACTGGCACTTATACCAGCACTATCGAGACTGTTGTCACTACATTCACTGGTTCCGATGGTGTTCCTACTACCGAAACTACTTACACTGTTGTCGTTCCTCCAACTTCCAATCCTGGTAGTGAAATTACTACTACTGTGACTACCCCATGGACTGGCACTTATACCAGCACTATCGAGACTGTTGTCACTACATTCACTGGTTCCGATGGTGTTCCTACTACCGAAACTACTTACACTGTTGTCGTTCCACCAACTTCTTTCCCAGTAGTTGAAAGTAAGACCATTGAAACTATTACTACTGTTACAGGCTCTAACGGTGTTCGAACTACAAAAACTACTAATGTTGTAGTTCCAAATACCTCCTCTAATTTAACACCAAGTTTATCTATTTTCCCAGGAACATCGACCGAATTTGTCTCAACTAATCATATTACTTCTTTTGAGGGCTCAGGCTTTAAGATGGGTGGCAGTATGTCAGATAGTATTTTAGGAGTGTTGTTTTTTGTATTGTTGATTTAGATGTTTTAGATTTTTAAAATCGTTATTAGTTCGTTGTATTTATGGTATAAATATTCTATTTAATTATAATTGTATTCTGAGATATGTAGATGTTTTTGTGAATTTTGGAAATCAATAGAGGGAAACCAGCATATAATTATTGTAATTAGATGAAATGCTTAAACTATATAAAGTGATAGTTTTCTATCTTAATATAACTATTCTTACCCTCTATCTAATCCTTCTATAATTAAATATAATACAAGGATTAGCGTTCCAATAATAGAGCTTATAATAATGAATTACAACCTCGAAACTTTTAATTACTCCTTCTCAGTTTCGAATCTGAGTCGACATATACTAGTGTATAACATTTTATGAACTTGAAAATGTTAAATAAGTTAAAAAATCAAATAGAATTCGATGCTCGTTTATATAGTTTGTGCTCAATGTTTCTATTATTTTTTTGTGTGAAATCAATACGATATTTATAAATATTCAACTGTCTATATACCATCTGAGCTCTTTCTTTCTATGCATTAAAGATATTATTGTTAAAATACATATATTGTTATATCTTATTTAGTAGTGAAATGAGTAGTGATCAAAACATATTTTAGAATACCAATCCATTATTACGTATTTATAAATTTTATAATATTTAAATATAAAATATGTCAAAGTGAAGGATTAATACACTAGCATATGTATACAATGTAGTTATAAGATGCATTTAAATGGAGAGCTGTATAATATAATAATTTACCCCTTCTTAAAACTACAATTGTGACTAAATTGGTGGTTGGTATCCTTTTGCTTTGGCATGTCTTAGAAAACGTTAATGTCACTTAAATCACTTTTATTTAAGTAAATATAGATTACAAATTGAATCAAGCATTTTACTGTAGAGAATCGGTGGAGGCCTTATTATACTGTCTATCTGTGATGTCTTATTTGACCAGTATTTGATAAGTTTTAATTATTATATAGTTGTATAGTTAATTTGGTGTACATTAGAATAAAGTCTGTTATTCATGTATTCTAGAGAAACTTAATGTGGAGATCTGTATTAGAGAGTAAATATACTACTAATTAATAATGTTACTGATGTTTTCTTTATATGCAAGTTAGCATACTAAATAATATACAATAATATACAATAATATACAATAATATACAATAATATACACTAATATACAATAATATACAATAATAACTCTTTATAGCAATAAATGTAACTGAAGCTAGTTTTGGCAATTGTTATTCTAATTATTCCATTGAATCGCAGTAACCTTACTATTTAGGTATAACTGCACCTCTATTAAAAACACGGTGATATAATTTATGACATCCTTATGTGATAAGGATTTGGTATTGATTACGCTTAAGTACAAAGGGATAAAAATATTTATATATTTAATATTACTGTATAGTTATTATAATAGTTTGATAACCTCATATATCTTTTAACTAATAACCTTAAGTAATTATATCTATGGCTTGTTTCCCTATATAAATACATTAATACATTAATATTTAATATTCCTGACAAAAAAATTCAATATGATGAGATTTATGTTTTGTTAGTTTTATATTTAGTGCTATAAATATTATTTATTATCAGTTGGATAAAGATGAAACTCATATAAGAAAAAATATTACAAAATATAAAATTATTTATATTAATATATAAGAAAGAGAAAAGTTATAATAAAATAAGTTGAATTATAGAAGTTAATTTAATGGCAGACAACTATTAACAAGAATTAATGACTAGCTAAGAAAGAAGCAAGTTGAGATATTGAAAGTATATCAAATAAACTAGTTCTGTGACAGACATAGGAATTGGTGTATGGTAAAGACTGATATTATTCTGGTTTGGATTTCTGTTAGGGGGATCTTAAAGTCTTATGAGGTGGGAATATATATAATTTAGTGTGCTTTAAATTATATATGATAATAATATATGGGAGTTTTAGATTCAGGTGTTGAGATAGATACAATAGTATAATGATAGATACAATAGTATAACTTGTAGTAGTGCCAATATTAGAATGTGAGTAGGAAGATTGGGATAATTATTTGTGTCGATTCAGATTATTGAAATAAAATAAGATAGTTAATTATTATTTGGGTGGGATATATGAGTTTAAGGCAAATGTGACTATTAGATTGTGACAGTGGGGATAAGAGGAGATAGAGTTGAGATGGTGGAAAATTACAACCAGAAATGAATTCACAAGCATTGAATTATTTATATTAGATATTAATTTCAACAATTGGAGTTAATATTACATTTTTAATTTTAACAAAATACCATAGTTAAGGCGAGATTTTTGTCTTTTCATCTGAAATATTTTATTATGGGAAAATATATTTTGTAGTGCGAGAAGAATCCCATAGTTAAGGCGAGATTTCTATATTTTGGGCAGAATTGCATACTATGGGAAGATGTTTTATTTTGCTCTTAAGGCTGGATAGAGTAAATATGCGTAGCCCAATATTAGGTAGTATTTTTCTCGGTTTGGTATTATTTTTTAGAATTGATCTTGGTTGGGCGACATGGATGAGAGTTGGTTATGTTTTTTAGGAAACGTGACATGGAACAGATTTTCGCGGGTCGGTCTTGTTTTTTAGGAAAGGTATTTAGTGCGCGACGGTGTATATAATAAGGATGGTTATAGAGGATAATGGTTAAGGTGGTAGTAATTAAAGTGATAGTAATAAAAGTGATGGTTGTAGTTATGTTGCGGTAATGAAATTTGACCACAAAGGTAAAGTTGACATGGAGATTAAGATTATTGAATAAAATTAAAAGTTAACAATAAAAGTTGTTCTAATTAATTAAACAGATGGTTAGACACAATAATCAATAGTGACAGTATGATAAAAGATGAACAAGTTGAGATGGTGAAAATGTAAAACCAGATATGAAATCACAAGCATTGAATTAATAATATCACATATTAGTTTCAACAATTGGAGTTAGTTTAGGTGCTAATTGATGGGGCCTTAACTGCTGAGGTAAGGTCGTATAAAATGATAAGATTATTGAATAAATATAATATTGTTACGCTACCATATTTGAAATTGATTTTCTGCATGTGTATCTGAGAATATATGTTTGTGCGATTATTTCTAAATGATATATTCATTGTGTGGTTCCGTGTTTCGTGATCCCTTCCGTGGTTATATGATAATGTGTGGCCGGTTTATAGGTGTGGTTTATAGGGATGGTTTATAGGTGTAATTTATAAGGATGGTTTATAGGGATGGTTTATAGGGATGGACCTATATATGATTCTTGCAAAACCTTTTAAATCCCATAGTTAAGGCGAAATTTTTGCGAAAGCTTTTAGATGGATTTATTATGTGAAGTTATTTTTTGCATCGACCTTGTAAATAAAAAATGTAAAACTTTGTAGATACAGTAAACTCCCGTAGCCTAATATTAGGTAGTATTTTTCTCGGTTTGGTATTATTTTTTAGGATGGATCTGGGTTGGGCGACATGGATGAGAGTTGGTTATGGTTTTTAGGAAACGTGATATGGAACAGATTTTCGCGGGTCGGTGTTGTTTGTTAGAAAACGTGACATGGAAACAGGTTTTTCCGGGTCGGTCTTGTTTTTCATGTTGGATTCTGGGAATCAGTAGATGACAATCTTAAGTTATCCAGATCTAACCCTATGTCTGAAAGATATACTTTGCTGACAGGAACACATTCAGGGTAACTGTTAGTTTTCAAAAGGTATATAAGCAGACCAGATTTCAAGTTTCTAGAAAATATTTTCTCTTTTCTAATGTTCACTTTATGAACTAAATTATATTTTATATTTTGTATACTATATTTAGAATTTATAAAAAACCAAGAGCTTGAATAAACAACTAACGTATAATTGTACTTATACCTTAGATCTCAGTTAATATATCCACTATCACTCCAGTACAACCATGTCCCACCCTGATCAACAGTCCAATAACACTCACCTATTCCAATCTCAAGAAATAGGTGCCGTCCTGGTTTCGAACCTGCGCAAACAGGTTATGAGCCCTGCCAATGCAACCGACCTTATTCCCATTGAACTACTTGGTGTCCAAAACTATGATATGTGGTATCATTACTTTATGCAAGTAGTTGGTGAAGCCAGTCACATTTGGTCAGAATATGTTGAAACTGGAGATATTCAATCCGTTAGAATTGAATATGGATTACCTGATATTCAAATCAAGTCTATGAAAATAATCTTAGACACTAATCTTGTTTCTCTTATCAAAAAGAATGTTTCTAAAGATATTGAGAAAAAGATTAGAAACTCCTTCCTGATGACTAAAAGATCTGGTCCAACAGGATTGTTACTTTTAGAGTACTTAAAAAAGAAGTATGGTAGGAAATGTGTTAAGTCCACCATGCCTATTTTTTCTGAAGTCAACTCCGCCTCCTCCAAACCTTTAGATGAAAGAGGAGACTGGGCAATAAAATTTGTCAACACCATGTTCAACTGTAGTGATGAACTTGACATCAATAATTTTTTC